ATTACTCCTGGAGGTGCTCAGGGGATCCTATGGGATGCTGGGAATCGAACCCAGGTCGGCCGTGTGCAAGGCAAACGCCCTCCCTGCTGTGCTATCGCTCCAGCCCTTTGATCGCTGTTTAAACAAAGACTGAAGGCCAGAGTGATAGTAAAGCAGAAAGAGCAATTGTCTTGCATGCAGTGGACCCAGGTTCGATCTCCGGCATCCCATATAGTCCCCCAAGCCCGACCAGGAGTGATCCCTGAGCACAGAGCCAGGAGTCAGCCCTGAGCACTGCTGGGAATGACCCCTAAAACCAAAATAAATAAAGACAGAATTACATAGGGATGATTGCAGTCCCTATGGTATATGACACGTGAACGCTGAACCTTTTAAAAACATAACCCCCCTGGAGCTGGAGCAATAGCACAGCGGGTAGGGCATTTGCCTTGCACGCGTCCGACCCGGGTTCGATTCCCAGCATCCCATATGGTCCCCCAAGCACCGCCAGGAGTAATCCTGAGTGCAGAACCAGGAGTAATCCCTGAGCGTTGCTGGGTGTGATCCAAAAAGCAAAATAAAATAAAATAAATAAATAAAACATAACCTCCCCCAAACAAAACAAAAACCATAAAACCCAAGGACAAAGCAGCCCGGCCCGCCAGGAGAAGCAAACCCGGTCTAGGTCGCCATCGTGTGGTCAGTTTGTATATTGCACCTCGGCTAGGCCTGAGTTCATCAAGGTGACAGGTAAAATCTTGGGCCATCGAAAGCCTCCTAAAGGTGCAACCCCCCCCCCCAGACTTGTTTTTCAAACAAAGAAACGTTTCCTTGTCTCTTTCCCCTTCAAACAAAAGTTGCTGCACTCAGTAAAAAAAATTACGCCGATAAGGCAGGAGAGATGGTACAGTAGGGAGGATGCTTGCTTTGCCTGAAGCAGACCCGGGTTCGATCCGGTGGCACCCCAGATGGTCTCCCAAGCTATCCAGAAGTAATTTTTTTGGGGGGGAAGGGTCACGCCTGGAGATGCAGAGGGGTCACTTCTGGCTCATGCACTCAGGAATTACCCCTGGCGGTGCTCAGGGGACCCTGTGGGATGCTGGGAATTAACCCCGGGTTGGCTGTGTGCAAAGCAAACGCCCTACCTGCTGTGCTATCGCTCCAACCCCTAGCCAGGAGTAATTTCTGAGCACAGAGTCTGGAAAAAAAACTCTAAGCATTGCTAGGTCTGGGTATCCCCTGCTCAAAATTAAAAAAAAAAAACATTTTATCAGTGGACTAGAAAAATGTTTAATTTCTTCGGCCAGACAGACAGTATAAGAGCTGAGGTACTTGACTTGCATGTGACTAGAGTTGGAATATCGGGACTCCATATGGTCCCTGAACTCCGAACATCGCCAGGGGTCACACCTGACCACAGCTGTGAACAAAACTCCCAAATTTTTTGCTTTTTGGAGGTCACACCTGGCGATGCTTAAAGGTCACTCCTGACTCTGCACTCAGGAATCACTCCTGGTGCTTGGGGGACCCTGTGGGATGCTGAGAATTGAACACGGGTCTGCCGTGTGCAAAGAAAATGCCCTCCTCACTGTATTATTTCTCCAGCCCCCAACCCTCCCCTAAATTTTTTTTTAATTTTTTTTGCTTTTTGGGTCACACCTGGCCATGCACAGGAGTTACTCCTGGTTCATGCACTTAGGAATTACTCCTGGTGGTGCTCGGGGACCATATGGGATGCTGGGAATCGAACTCCATGCAAGGCAAATGCCCTACGTGCTGTGCTATTGCTTCAGCGCCCCCCCCCCGCCCAATTTTTTAGTTTAGTTCTCATTTCATTTCATTTTTTCATTTCATCATCCTGTTATTCGTCGATTGCCTCGAGCAGGCCCCAGTAACGTCTCTTTCATTCTAGCCCTGAGATTATATTCAAGGCTATTTAGGAGAATGAGACCCATCATTGTTACTGGTATTTGGCATATTGGGTATGCCACGGGGAGTTTGCCAGACTCTGCCCTGTGGGCAGGCTACATTCGATAGCCTGCAAGTTTGTCCAAAGTAGGAATGAGATAATAAGATGTTATAATAAGATGTTGTGCGGCTGCAAATGCAGCCGCGCGGTTCCAGGAGCTGGATTTTATAGTCTCTGAGTCTTGGCCGCTGATGGGATTACACGGCGCCAGGGGGCCAGGTGGTGGGTGTGACCCCCGCCTACTGGAATTTGGAGGATCTGGGTGGAAGATGCTCGACTCCAATTCGAGTAGGCTTGGAGGTCTCGGCCCCGGAACCCGCGTGGCTTTGTCCCTCTGCCAGTACCTTCCTGTGTGCGGAGAGTGGTCTCAGCATGGTGGTGGCTGGTCCTGGAGGTCTTCGGCTGCCAGAGCCCTGGTCGGGGTGGGGAGGAAAGCTCAACCCGCTCCCTTCCAAGGGACCCCGGCGAGGAACAGCCAGGCGCAGGGGCAGGAGACTGACTGCACTGTTCTCGTCCGGGATCTGGATTTTATAGTCTCTGAGTCTTGGCCGCTGATGGGATTACACGGCGCCAGGGGGCCAGGTGGTGGGTGTGACCCCCGCCTACTGGAATTTGGAGGATCTGGGTGGAAGATGCTCGACTCCAATTCGAGTAGGTTCTCAACCAGTGTTTTTTAGGGATGTGGTTAATAAGGGGTTTATTTTGTTTGTTTGATTTTTTTTTTTTTTTGCTTTTTGGGTCACACCCGGAGATGCTCAGGGGTTACTCCTGGCTCATGCACTCAGGAATTACTCCTGGCGGTGCTCAGGGGACCATATGGGATGCTGGGACTCGAACCTGGGTCGGCCATGTTGGCTGCGTGCAAGGCAAATGCCCTACCCGCTGTGCTATCACTCCAGCCCCTTGTTTGTTTGATTTTGTTCTTGCTCCTGGCTCTGCACTCAGGAATCACTTCTGGAGGGCTCAGGGGACCCTATGAGGGTGCCAGGGATTGAACCCAGGTCAGCTGAAAGCAAGTTAAGTGCTCAGCCCACTGCACTATCGCCCCAGGCCCTGTATTTCACTGTTGCTGGGAGTGATGTCTGGTTCAGTTTCTTTGGAAAACAGTATGAGGCACATCTCAGTCCTTAGTTTTCCAAAAGCATTTTCTAACTATCCCTAAGAATCTGAAGGTGGGACCTGAGCGATAGTACAGCGAGGAGGGCATTTGCCTTGGACACGGTCGACCCGGGTTCGATCCCTGGCATCCCAGAGGGTCTCCCGAGCATGGCCAGGAGTGATTTCTGAGTGCAGAGTCAGGAGGAATCCCTGACGCTGTTTTATTTCTTCTTTTCATCATTCATTAAACAGCAGATTTCACAAAAACTGTCAGGGCACTGGTTTGGTTTTGGTTTTGGTCTTTTTTTTTTTTGAGTCTTACTTTTTTGTGTTTGCGGGGGGTCACACCCAGCGAGGTTCAGGGTTTACTCCTGGTTCTCTGTTCTCAGGGATCATTCCTAGCCGTGCATGGGGGACTCTATGTGGTGCTGGGGATTGAACCCAGGACATTCTTCAGCTATTTTATTATAGTCGGAGGTATTCAAACAGTTGAGATGAAGTCCACTAGCTAAGACAAGGCTAATCCCTTCCTCTTTTCCTGCTTATCCTCAGAGCTGCAGGAGTCGCGCGCGCGTTAATGAGTTTAAGAGAATTGAATGCAAGGGCACGGATTACCTAGAAGATTAGGTCCCAGGTGAGTGATGTAAAAATGACCTGCAGAGTTCCTTTCTTTCCAGAACCAGCAAAATCAGGGGGGTCTTCGTTGAACTAGGTACTTCCTTCCCGACAGGAGTAAATTAAGAGATGTTCCAGTTTTTAGATAATCCTTCGTAAGAGAGAAGAACATCTAAGGGAGCTGGAGAAACAGTACAGTGGGTGAGATGCCTATCTTGGGGCCAGAGTCATAGCACAAGGGGGAGGGCGTTGGTCTTGCAATGCTGCGACCCGGGTTCGATCCCCGGCATCCCCTAGGGTCCCCCGAGCACCGCCAGGAGTGATTCCGGAGTGCAGAGCCAGGAGTAACCCCAGAGCATCACAGAGTGTGACCCCCCAGAAGCCAAAAAAAATTAAGATAAATTAAAAAAAAAAAGATGCTTGTCTTGCACAAGGCTCACTCGGGGCTGATCCCGAGCACTGAGCCAGGAGTCAGTGCCGAGCCCAGCCAGGCAGGGCCTCCAAGCCAAACACCCAAGCCGCGGCACTTGGACTGTGTGCAGGAACATCTGTCCAGGGGTGCCCGGGAGGCGCGTGCAAGGCGGAACCTTCGTTCCTGGGCTCCGAGTTTCCCGCGACCCCGACCCCTCCGCGGCCCCGTGGCCCGAGCCGGGAACAGGTTCCGGGGTCAGGTCTAGTCATTTCAACCACAGATGGCCGGAGAAGGAAGTTTCTCCACGCAGGGTCGCCCCCGATCGCAGGGCACTCAGTGGACAGTGCCCCCAGCTCCGGGACAAGCACTGAGACGCGTTCCCCCGAGCCCGGGCCCGGCACCCGCGCGCCCCGCCCCTCTCGCGCCTCGCCCCGCCCCCATGCCCTCGCTGTCCTATCAGCGTTCGCTCCCCGTTCCCAAACTCGCACCTCGCCCCGCCCTCACTCCCTCGCTGTCCTATCAGCGTTCGCGCACCGCCCCGTTCTCCCGCCCCCAGGGCTTTCGCGCACATCGCCCCGCCCTCACTCCCTCGCTGTCCTATCAGCGTTCGCGCACCGCCCCGTTCTCCCGCCCCCAGGGCTTTCGCGCACATCGCCCCGCCCCCAAGCCCTCGCTGTCCTATCAGCGTTCGCACACCGCCCCGTCCTCACGCCCTCGCGGCCCTATCGCGTGCGGGGCCGCGAAGCCCCGCCCCTTGCGCAAGCTCCCTTGACGCCCCGCCCCCGCCAGCAGGCCGCCCCGCCTCCTCGCCCTAGCCATCCTATCAGCGTCCGCGTGTCGCCCCGCCCTCAAGCCCTCGGCGCCCTATCAGCGTGCGCGCACCGCCCCGACAGCCACGCCCCCTTGGAGCCACGCCCCCACGCCGCTGCAGCTCCGGCCCCGCGCACGCCGCCCTCCGCATCCGTTGATCCTCGACCCCTCTCCGCGCGATCGCAGGGATCCGGGGCGACCGAGTTCGGGTTCCGGGAGGCCGGAGGGAGCCAGGGAGCCGGGGTGGGCCGGAGCTTGCCTCGGAGGGTCGCGGAGCCGGGCCCCGCGCGCCCATGGCCTCGCCCTTCCCGCCCGCCGGGGCCGGCCCGGGCGACAGCGGCGGGGAGCTGAGCTCGGGGGACGAGTCTGGGGACGCCGAGGTCGGGGCGTCCCGGGGTCTGGCCGAGCTGTTCGAGCAGGCGGCGGCGCACCTGCAGGGCCTGGTGCAGGTGGCGAGCCGGGAGCAGCTCCTGTACCTGTACGCCAGGTACAAGCAGGTGAGCGCCCCTGGGGGGTCTTGGCGTTGCCCCGGAACCCAGATGCAGGGGTGGGTGGTCGCGTAGCTCCGGGAACAAGTTGAAGGGGTGCGTGGTCGCGTTGCCCTGGAACCCAGCTGCAGGGGTGCGTGGTCGCGTAGCTCCGGGAGCAATTTGCAGGGGTGCGTGATTCCTGTTGCTCTGCAGGGGTGGGTGGTCGCGTTGCTCCAGCACCCAGTTGCAGGACTGCGACCATGCACCCCTGCAGCTGGGTTCCAGGGCAACGCAACCCAGTTGCAGAACTGCGTGGTCGCGTTGCCCCGGAACCCAGTGGCAGGGGTGTGTGGTCGCGTTGCTCTGGGACCAAGTTGCAGGGGTGCGTGGTCGTGTTGCTCTGCAGGGGCGGGTGGTCGCGTTGCCCCGGAACCCAGTGGCAGGGGTGCATGGTCGCGTTTCCCTGGAACCCAGCTGCAGGGGTGCATGGTCCGGTTGCTCTAGAACCCAGTTGCAGGACTGCGTGGTCGTGTGTCCCCGGAACCCAGTTGCAGGGGTGCGTGGTCGCTTGGTCCAGAACCCAGTTTGCTCTGCGCGGGGACCCGGCTGCTTTCGGGGCACGGTGAGGTCCCGCGGGATCTGTGACTGTGTCTTCTGTCACTTCCTGTGTCTTCTCAAACTCGGGGCATCCTGGTCACCCCCCTCCGGATTCTGAATGCGCTGCCTTGCTTTTGAAAGGGCCACAGGCAAGCGGGGATGTTAGGGGCCTCAGGTCGCTTATTTGTCCACTTGTCCATGCATTAGACCATTTGCATTATCGTTGCTATTTGGGGGGCTATTTTTGGGGGGTGCAGGTGCTTGGTGCTCCCTGGTGCTTAACCCCCCTGGGCTCTTCTGTGCAGAACATGTACTCCAGCTTCATTACTCTCATGATATGATTGCCATATTTGGTCGTGACGGTTTCATTTTGCCCCTAAACATCTTAGACTGACTTATGGTTTTGTTGTTGTTGTTGTTTGTTTGTTTGTTTTTGGCTTTTTGGGTCACACCCAGCGATGCTCACGGATTTCTCCTGGCTCTGCACTCAGAAATTACTCCTGGCGGTGCTTGGGGGGACCCTAGGGGATGCTGGGGATTGAACCCAGGTCGGCCGCATGCAAGGCACATGCCCTCCCCGCTCTGCTATCATCGCTCCAGCCCGACTCATGTTTTGATGGGATAAACTTGTCTGTTCCATACAACTCTGAAAACGTTAGCGTGAAGTGAAGTCCCAGGTGAAGGAATGACTTTCTTGCCTCAGAAAGGAAAAGTAAGCTGGAGGAGAGCAGATAACTCTGGGCCTTGGGTACTGCAGAAAAATCCATCCCGAGTGGATCAGAGAACGTGGAAAACAGTGAGAGTAATGCAAAGCCCTGAAGGAACAGTCTCAGCAAAGAGGTGGCCGGCACCCAGGTCTTATATATGTAAAAGCAGAAGAACGAACAAGAATATCTTTCGGTGGGGCCAGAGCCATAGCGCAGCTGGTAGGACATTTGCCTTGCATGCGGCCGACCCGGGTTCGATCCCCGGCATCCCACAAGGTCCCCCGAGCACCGCCAGGAGTGATTCCTGAGTGCAGAGCTAGGAGTAATCCCTGTGAATCACCGGGTGTGACCCAAAAAGCAAAAAAAAAAGCAAAAGCGTTGGGTCTGGCCTGAGGGGATCCCTGGAGCCTCAGGGCGCTTCCAGGGACCCTTTATGGAGTCCAGCCCAGCCTGTCGGGGACCCTTAACTCTCTTGGGGACCCTTGAGTCGGTGAGATTCTGAGTGATCTCTTTCCTTTTTTCTTTTTCTTCTCCTTTCACTTTCTCTTTCCCTTTCTTTTCTTTCCTTTTTTATTCTTTTTTTTTTCCATAGCTCAGGGATCATTCCTGCTGAATGCATGCAGGGGTGTGTGTGTGTGTGTCTGTGTGTGGGGGGGGGAGGGGGGGGAGATAGTGAGCAGTGTCAGGGATCGAACCCCAGACCCCGCAACTTATTCCCATTCCTGTCTTGTCAGGCCGAATCAGCCCATCATGTCCTTGTCGTAAGGTAAAGGTAAGGTAAAGGCCCTCCCGTTGATCATCGATTTGCTCGAGCGGGCCCAGGAACGTCTCCATTGGAGACTTTGTTGTTACTGTGTCTGGCATATCGAATACTCTCGGTAGCTTGCCGGGCTCTCCTTGTTGTAATTTTTATTTATTTTGCCTCGTACTATGTATTTCCCCAATTTTAAAAATGATTCAGGGCTGGAGCTGGAGCAATAGCACAGCGGGGAGGGCGTTTTGCCTTGCACGCGACTGACCCGGGTTCGATTCCCAGCATCCCATAGGGTCCCCTGAGCACCGCCAGGGATAATTCTTCCTGAGTGTAGAACAAGGAGGAACCCCTCTGCATTGCCGGGTGTGACCCAAAAAGCAAAGAAATAAATAAATAAAAATGATTGAGGGAAGCTCTGTTTTTTTTTTTTTTTTTTTTTGCTTTTGCTTTTTGGGTCACACCTGGTGATGCTCAGGAGTTGCTCCTGGCTCTGCACTCAGGAATGACTCCTGGCAGTGCTCAGGGGACCTTATGGGATGCCGGGGATCGAACCTGGGTCAGCCGCGTGCCAGGCCAACGCCCTCCCCACTGTGCTGTTGCTCGGGCCCCAGCTCTGTGTTCTCAAACCACACATCCTGCAGGGAGAGGAGCTGTCTTTGGAGCTGGATGAATTTGAGGTCTTGAGGTCTGAGCTAGAAGCTATAGGAATGTGTGTTGTGAGGGTCCTCCTGGTTGGCCCCCTGGATTTGAACTTTGGACCCCTCCCCTAAACCATGTCGGTGATTTTCATCTGTGGACCCCCTTAGGCTACACACAGAGGCCTGAAGGTAGATCATGGTTCTCCTTGCACAGTGCTCCCTGGGTTGGCTTTGGGGGGGGTGTTAATCTTGTAAAGGTTCTGGGGGACCTTTTGTTTGTCACTTATCATCCCAAGGCTTTCAGACAAGGGTGAATTATTCAGGAAGCATTCACTGATTCCAGCCTGGCACCATTGATGGCTGTATAACTAAACCTCTCCGAGTGACGATCACGGTCACGACCATCCTGTTGTTCGTCGATTGCCTCGAGCAGGCACCAGTAACGTCTCCTTCGTCCTAGCCCTGAGATTTTAAAAAGTACCACATTCAAGGCTCTTTCAGGGTTAGGAGAATGAGACCCATCATTGTTACTGGTATTTGGCATATTGGGGACGCCACGGGGAGTTTGCCAGACTCTGCCGTGTGGGCAGGTTGCATTAGGTAGCCTGCCAGTTTGTCCAAAGTAGGAATGAGATAATAAGATGTCACTTCCGGGAGCTGGGTTTTATAGTCTCTGGGTCTTGGCCATTGATGGGATTACACGGCACCAGGGGGCCAGTTGGTGGGTGTGACCCCTGCCTACTGGAAGATGGAGGATCTGGGTGGAGGATGCTCAGCCCCGATCCAAGCAGGCTTGGAGATCTCAGCCCCGGGACCCGCATGCCTTTGTTCCTCTGCCGGTACCTTCATGCCTGCAGAGAGTGGTCTCAGCATGGTGGTGGCTGGTTCTGGAGGTCTTTGGCGGGTTGAGTTTTCCTCTCCACCCTGACCAGGGCTCCGGCAGCTGAAGACCTCCAAGTGACATTCTTTTTTTATTTTTTTAAATTTTGGGTGACACCCGGCGATGCACAGGGGTTCCTCCCGGATCTGCACTCAGGAATCACTACGGCGGTGCTCGGGGGACCATATGGGATGCTGGGAATCGAACCCGGGTTGGCTGCGTGTAAGGCAAATGCCCTCCCCGCTGTGCTATCACTCCAGCTCTCTCCAAGTGATATTCTTTTTGTTTTATTTTGCTTGGGAGCCACGCTAAGCAGTGCTCAGGGGTTGTTCCTGGCTCTGCACTCAGGAATTACTCCTAGTGGTGCTCAGGGGACCCTATGGGATGCTGGGAATCGAACCTGGATTTGCTGGAGCAAGGCAAACACCCCGCCTGGCCCCTCCAAAGGCCCCTGCCAATGACAATTTTGTTGTTTTTGTTTGTTTTGTTTTGTTTCCTGGCTCAGGACATTTCCCGTTAGGGAATCAGTCGAACAAAACTCGATCCAAATTCACAGTTTCATTGGCGGTTTCCAGGAAAAGCATTTGTGTTAAACTCTTTGAGGGCTGTTGTGGGGGGGCCACGCCCGGCAGTGCCCAGGGCTGACTCCTGACTCTGCACTCAGGATTCACTCCTGGCGGGCTCGGGGGTCCTTTTGAGGTGCCGGGGGTTGAACCCGGGCTGGCCACATCCTTACAAGGCAGGTGCCCTGCCCACTGAGCTATCTCTCTGGCCCCCGTTTGGGTTTCCCTGAGTTGCTAGGTGAGTAATCTTTTTTTTTGGGGGGGGGTCAAACCCGGCGATGCACAGGGGTTACTCCTGGCTCTGCACTCAGGAATGACTCCTGGCGGTGCTTGGGTGACTCTATGGGATGCTGGGAATCGAACCTGGGTCGGCTGCATGCAAGGCAAACGCCCTCCCTGCTGTGCTATCGCTCCAGCCCCGAGTCGTCTGGACAGTTTGTTTGGATGGACGAGGTTGGCATTCAGTCCCAATCGAGTGCCAGCATTTTTTAATCGGGATTGGTCTCCTTCTCCTTCCCACCCCGCCGCCCCCCCCCGACACACACACACACACACACACACACACACACACACACACAGTGATGTGCTTCTCCTGTACATCAGTGGTGTTGAGTACGGCCTGGAAGGAATTCTAAAGTGTTAAGTAGGGGAATGCAGCTGGAGTTGAATTTTTAACTGGATGGTGACTTTGGGGTCCAGAGGCATCCCTGCAGCTTTGTTGCTCTCTTCCAAGATTTATTTGTGAGTCTCTGGATACGGCGCCAGAGGCAGTTCATGGGCGTGACTGCCAGGCTCCAGGAAGAGCAGGGGAGGTCGCCCATCCCCGACTCCGTGAGAACCGGGAGATTTCAGTCACAAATGCCGCATGCCTGAGTTTTTCAGCGAGCTGCCTCCTTTATACCATGGTATTAGCGCTTCTTAGTGTCTGCCTGTAATTCAGCCAAAGCAACATAAGATCGTGGGTAGAATGCCAGAGTATGATGGTGCCGTCTGCCTTTTTTTCTTTTTCTTTTTTTTCTTTTGGCTAGAGACTAGATCTTTCTCTTTCAGACAAATCCATCGTTGCACCACGTGAGAAGCTTATTATTTGCAACGAAATGCAGATGTTTCAAAATGTTTTCATTTCTGGGGGGCTAGAGCAACAGTACAACCTTGGAGGGCACTTGCCTTGCACGTGGCTGACCCAGTTCGATCCCCGACATCCCATAGGGTCCCCCGAGCCCTGCCAGGAATAATTCCTGAGTGCAGAGCTAGGAATAATCCCTGAATGTCGCTGGGTGTGACCAAAAAAAAAAAAAACCAGGAAAAAAAGATTTTCCAATTTATTCTTACTTGTAAATATTGATGGCTTTAACTCACATAACAAGGTCTTTGGGGACCATACCCAATCCAGTCTTGGGGCTGGAGCGATAGCACAGCAGGTAAGGGCGTTTGCCTCGCACACAGCCAACCCGGGTTCGATTCCTCCGCCCCTCTTTGAGAGCCCGGCAAGCTATTGAGAGTATCTCGCCCGCACGGCAAAGCCTGGCAAGCTACCCGTGACATAATCAATACGCCAAACACAGTAACAACAAGTCTCACAATTTGTTGTGAGACGTTACTGGTGCCCGCTCGAGCAAATCGATGAACAGCGGGAGGACAGTGCAGTACTGCCCAATCTTGGAAGTTAGGGGAGGCCAGATGCTACAAGAATCAGCAGTACTACAAATTCTGATACACTAAACTGGAAAACTTTCTCATTGCATGTTTCAAAATTCTTTAGGGGCTGGAGAGATAGCACAGCGGGGAGGGCGTTGGCCTTGCACGCGGCCGACCTGGGTTCGATTCCCAGCATCCCCTATGGTCCCCCGAGCACCGCCAGGAGTAACTCCTGAGTGCAGAGCCAGGAGGAACCCCTGTGCATCGCTGGGTGTGACCCAAAAAGCAAAAAAATAAAAATAAAATAAAAATTCTTTATTACGAAAGGTGATAAGGGTTGTGTAATATGTATAATTTGCCTATACTAGAATGATAGCACAGTGGTAGGGCGTTTGCCTTGTACGCAGCCAGCCTGGCCGAGCCGGGTTCGATTCCTCCGACCCTCTCAGAGAGCCCGGCAAGCTCCCGAGAGTATCTCGCCCGCACGGCAAAGCCTGGCAAGCTCCCCGTGGCGTATTCGATATGCCAAACACAGTAACAACAAGTCTCACGATGGAGACGTTACTGGGCCCGCTGGAGAAAATCGACGAACAACGGGAGGACCGTGACCGTGACTATTGGCTAAATTAGGAATGAATTTTCAGCCCGATTTTTAATACGTGGTGGTGTTAACCTGTTAATGCAGTTAGCCAAAACAGTGTGGCTTTATTAGAGTTAATTTTTATCGGCTTTGGCAATAATTGTTCAATTTCGCTACTCCGTCTGGCTACAAATCATTTCTAACCTATAGCTTGCTAAGTAAAAAATGACCGATTAGAAAACAGAGTTCCGCTGACATTTCTTTGAAAAATGAACTATCGATTTTTCTCCTCCTCCATCTAGGTCAAAGTTGGAAATTGTAATACTCCTAAACCAGGCTTCTTCGATTTTGAAGGCAAACAGAAATGGTAAGAAATTCCGGGACCCTTGCTGCGGGCTTTGGGGGTGCTTTGCGTGTGTCGGAATCAGTTGGGAGCAGATTGAAGAATTATTTTTCTGTTAATCCCTCCACGCACGTAACCTTCCGCCCTGAGCTCGGGCAACTGGGGGTGAGATTAAAAGGATCCGCTTGTTGGGGCTGGAGCGATAGCACAGCGGGGAGGGCGTTGGCCTGGCACGTGGACGACCCGGGTTCGATTCCCAGCATCCCATCGGGTCCCCTGAGCACCACCAGGAGTGATTCCTGAGCGCAGAGCCAGGAGTCAGCCCTGAGCATCGCCGGGTGGGACCCAAAAAGCAAAAAAAAGGAAAAAAGGATCCACATGCCACTCACCCTCTCAAGACACCGGGGCAGGAGTGGCACCTCTGTGGTCCCACGCTTAGCGGTCACCACACGTCCCCTCCGAGGAGCCTGGGGAAGGTGGCCCGGGGCCGGGTGGGTATGATATTCCCTTGCCTCGCTTTACCTCCTTGTCGCCTGGAAAGCGTTGGTCATAACTTCCAAGTCCTGTCCATTTCCTTCCCGAATTCCCGAATTCCCAAGACCCCCCCCCCCCCCCCCCCATGGGCCAGGGAGAAGGCCCAGAGCTGACCACGGGCTATCGGGGCTGGGAGTGAGCCCAGAGCCACGGCCGGGTGTCGGCCAAACACCCCTCCCCCAGGAGAAGGGAACTCTGGTCCCTTGGTGCCTCTGACCATCGCTAGGTCGAAAGGGAGAAACTTCTGGAGTCTTAGAAGGAAGGACGGGAAGGCTGGTCTCAGAAACCATCAACTGGGGCCGGAGCGATAGCACAGCGGGGAGGACGTTTGCCTTGCATGCGGCTGACCCGGGTTCGATTCCCGGCATCCCATAGGGTCCCCCGAGCACCGCCAGGAGTGATCCCTGAGTGCAGAGCCGGGAGTCAGCCCTGAGCATTGTCGGATGGAACCCAAAAAGCAAAGAAAAAAAAAAAGAAACCATCAATAGAGATGTGGAAAGATGGCTTTCTGGAAACTTCCAGAGCAGCGTGGCTCCGAGCCGGCCCTGAGACACTGGCCATCTCCTTGCTCTGTGAGCCACCCAGAGATCACCCAGAGCTGCAGCAAGGGGGTGGCCCTTTGTGGCGGGAGAGAAGGGGCCACCCTGAGTGGTGTAGGGCTGAGCTGATGCTGCTATCGGCTGGGCCCGGCTCAGCATCCCCCCCTTGGGCCTCACACCTCCATTTCTTTTCTTTTCTTTTCTTTTTTTGATTATTTTTTTTTGCTTTTTGGGTCCCACCTGGCGATGCTCAGGGCTGACTCCTGGCTCTGCACTCAGGGATCACTCCTGGCGGTGCTCAGGGGACCCTAGGGAATGCTGGGGGTCGAACCCAGGTCCGCTGCGTGCAAGGCCAACGCTCTCTCCTCTGTGCTATCCCTCCAGACCCACCCCTCAATTTCCTGGTCCCCACCCAAGGCCTGAGGCCCAGGGCTGGCCGAAGCCAGGAGGGGGGTGGGCAGTGCCTTCTCACGACCCCCCGTGGGTGATCTGTGTCCCATGGGGCATGTTGGTGGTGGTGGTGGGGACAGTTCCTGGTGGCCTGGGGACCTGGCTTCTCTGTCCCCTGGGTCTCACATTCTCCACGGTAGTGCCCGAGCTGTGCCAAGACCCGCCAGGGGCATCGTGTGTGTTGGGGATGGGGGCATCAGGGTAGAAACTTTGGCCCAGACTCGCGGGTGGGGGGGGGGCGTGGGTGGGTGGGTGGTCGCGGGCGTCCCGCACCCACCTGGTGTGTTCTGTGTCGCAGGGAGGCCTGGAAGGCCCTGGGCGACACGTGTCCCGACCAGGCCATGCGCGAGTACGTCGCCGTCGTGAGGAAGCTCGACCCGGCCTGGGACCCGCAGGTGAGACCTGAGGGGGGCCTGGAAGGGATCGCGCCCCCCCACCCTGACCCCAGCCCGCGGCTCCCTGGACCCTGGCCACTTGCGGTCCAGCCTCGAGGTCACACTGGCCTCTGAGAGTCCAGGGAGAGTCCAGGGTTGGTTCCCTGGAGCAGGAGGCCGGGTACGGGCAAGGCCTGGGGCCGGTGCCCAGAACCGTTTCCACACCCCAGGAGTCTCGGTTCCGGATGTGACAGGATTAAACGCCCGCAGGGGCCGGCCTGGGGGCCTTTGTCCTCCCAAGTGACCGCAGCTGGCCACCCCCTCCACTAGCCTCTCCCCAGATCCCCTCAGCCCCGGGTTGCGCTGCCTTCCTGCTCTGCTTCCACAAGCGTGATGTCAGAGTTTAGAGGTGACGTCAGCGGTTGGACGTGACGTCAGCGGTTAGCTGTGATGTCATAGTTCAGATGTGCCGTCAGCAGTTGGCCATGATGTCACGTTTGGAAGCAACGTCGGCTTTTGCATGTGATGTCATACTTTGAACCCAGCGTCGGCGTTTGGACGTGACGTCAGCGGTTGGGCGTGACGTCATAGTTCGGGTGTGACGTCAGCGTCTGGACATGATGTTGGCGTTTGGATGCCCTGTGTGGGGGTGGGGGGGATTTTGTCTTCCTGTCCACTCACCGCCGTCATGGTCCTGGCCTCCTGGGCCAGCAGCCGGGCCTCCCCCGTCCCCGAGGCTGAAGGCCCACTGTCCCAGGTGCTGTCACGTGCCAGCGCTTCTAGGGAAAGCGTCGCCGCTAGGAGGCCAGAGCGTGTGCTGACGTCACTCCATCCGGTTCCCCTGCCGGGCAGAGGGGCCCTCGCTGGCCGGGACTGCGTCTCTGCACGGCCAAGGACACGGGACCCCTCAGATGGGCCTTCAGGAGCTCTTCTCGATTTGGGGGGAATGCTCCGCTTTCACGTGTTTTTGCGTGGGGCTGGAGCGATAGCACAGTGGGGAGGGCGTTGGCCTTGCACGTGGCCGACCCGGGTTCGATTCTCAGCATCCCATAGGGTCCCCCGAGCACCACCAGGAGTGATTCCCGAGTGCAGAGCTAGGAGTCGGCCCTGAGCATCATCAGGTACGACCCGAAAAGTTAAAAAAAAAGAAGTTTTTGCATGGGTCTGTACGGAGACACCCCCACTCAGAGTGTGCACAGCCTCTTTCAGGCTGAGGGATTGTTCGCTCCCTGCTACCCCCGTACACCTTCTTTGTTGCTGTTTAAAGTTCTGATCCTGGGTACTGGGTATTGTGTTGGTTTAGTTCGCCTTGGTTCCCCTTCACCTGAAATCAGCTCTCGGGGACAGGATGGTTTTTTCGCTTTTAGGTTTTTGGGGTTTTTTCTCTTTGGATCCCACCCGGTGATGCACAGGGCTTCCTCCTGGCTCTGCACTCAGGGATCACTCCTGGCGGTGCTCGGGGGACCCTCGGGGATGCCGGGGATCGAACCTGGGTCGGCCGCGTATAAGGCCAACGCCCTACCCGCTGTGCTATTGCTCCAGCCCCCGTTAATGACTTTCTGAGCCTCCTTCCCCCCCCACATCCGTTCTTTGGCATCTCACCGGGAGGCTGGGCTTTTTCCCCCCCTCCTTTCCCTTTCTTCCTTCCCTCATTGTCAAGAGCCCCAAGGGTCTGGGCTTGACTCTCCCTGCAAGCTAATAAGTTGGTGGTGGTGGCTGGTCCTCAGATCTGGGCGACAGCCAGGGTCCTTTGTTATTCACGGCAGGCCAATGCCAGGAGCCTGATTGGATTTGCATTGGCTGCCTGTGTCCCCCTAGATCCCAGGGGGGATGGTGCAGGTGGGTTCGACAGATTCCTCCATATGCTGAGGAGTGGGGGAGGAGGTGGAGGGGTGTGCAGGGGGGACCTTGTTGCAGGCCGAAGCTCTCATTGTCTCACCCAGCGTAGGTCTGTGCCCAGGACCCAGAGGCGGCCGGAAGAGGTTGCTCGGGGCCCGGCCGCATCCCCCGCTCCTGGGCACCTGTGTCCTGGTGGGTTTCCCTGGGGGTCCCCCAAACTCCCTGGGCCAAGCCAGCCCCTTTCAGGACCGAAGGAGCACTAGTAGCACTGGAGCACTGTCCTCCAGTTGTTCATCGATTTGCGCGAGCGGACCCAGTAACGTCTCCTTTTTGTGAGACTTTGTTGTGACTGTGTGTGGCATCTCGAATACGTCACGGGGAGCTTGCCAGGCTTTGTCGGGCGGGCAGGATACTCTCGGTAGCTTGCCGGGCTCTCCGAGAGGGGTGGAGGAATCGAACCCGGGTCGACCCGGTGGACTGTGTGCAAGGCAAACGCCCTACCCACTGTGCTGTCGCTCCAGCAGAGCAGAAAATGCATCCCAGAAATGCCCTTGCCTTTTTTATTTCCTTTTTGGGTCCCACCCGGCGATGCTCAGGGCTGACTCCCGGCTCTGCACTCAGGAATCACTCCTGGCGGTGCTCGGGGGACCCTAGGGGAGGCCGGGGATCGAACCTGGGTTGGCCGCATGCAAGGCGCTGTGTTATCGCTCCGGCCCCCTGGAAATGCCCTTTCTTAAATCAGTCAAACGGGAGGAGGCACCTGGACCCTCTCTGAAGCCCCCCCACCCTTGGGTGCAGTGTTGCCTGCTCTGGGCTTGGACCCCACCCCATCCCCGCTGTCTGAGTCCTTCCTCGGACTGTCCTGCCCAGTCCGCGGGGAATCGGAGGATTGGCATGAGGGGCCAGCCCACAATGGGGGTGAGGGGTGGGTATCCCTTAGCCTCTGGTCTGGGCTTTGTTCGTGGGCGCGGGCCTGGTAGTGCTCAGCCCAGGTGGGCCAGTGCTCAGTCGGCAGTGCTCAGGGCCCGGCTGGTGCCGGGGATTGCCCGGAACCGGCCCTTTCACCCTCATTCCTGCCCTTGGGGTGAGTGGGGGAACACGGCTCTTTTGGGGGTGGTCAGGCCAGAGCGGAGAAGAGCTCAGCTTCTCAAGGGCAGGGCACCCCAAGATGGTGGTGGAGGGTGGTGGGGAGTGGACAGTCTGGTGAGGGGGTGAGGTTGGAGCGGTGTATGCTGGACGCCTGTTGCAAACAGGGCAGAGATCACACCAGGAAACACCTCCAACCCCGCAATCCTTCATCTGGAGCGACTTTCTGGCTTGGGGAAGAGCACTGCTCACTGAGTCCGCCTATCAACGCCCCCGAATTTCTGTCCCGGGACCCCGGAGCCAGCCGAGCTCTGGGAAACGCCGGACTGCTCCCTGTCCCGAGGGGCACTGGGCGTCCAGATCTTTCCAGGCCCCCGGCTAAGTGATGGTGTGGGATCATTGCCGGTGGCACCACTGGCCCCTGGGCGCCGAGTCGGGCCCACCCTGCCCCTTCCCGGGGGTCCCCCAGGAGGGACATTCAGGCTCTTAGCCTAGGGGTGTCAGGAATTCCTCAAGGGTCCCATTCACTGGGTGTCAATGCCAGGAGGGGATGCAGGGACGCGGGGCTCTGTATCCACCACCCTGGGTGCAAGGAGGGTTGCGGGGCCCCGATTTGTCTGTGTTTGGGGTCACACGCTGCAGTGCTCACCCTGAATCCCGCCCCCCTTGATCCTTACTTGATGCTGGAGGATGTTCTCGTTGGCCCTTGCGCCCTGCAGTCCCTCGACCGGCCACCAGGGGGAGCAGAGTTCCACGTGAATAACCTATTCTCTAGACTCCCAATTCCTGGGGTTCTGGGTTTCACCAGTAGTTTTTGAGTCTATTCTCCCAATTTCTGGAGTTCTGGGTTTCACCAGTAGTTTTTTGGCGGCTGGTATATTGGGTAAGGTGCGTCCGACCAGGGTTTGATCCCCGGGAGTCCCATATGGCCCCCAGAGTGGTGCTGGTATAACCCAAAAACTTGGAGGAAAAAAAATTGTATCCAGTTATCTTTTGTGGCGTCTCTTGCCCTTTCAATGTTTTAAATCTCCCAGATCTGAGCTCAGCCCATGAACAGATCTCACTGGGCTGGTGGTATGAATATGGATTGTCCTTCATTAGATAGTTTTTGTGCATTGCCCGGAAAATAGGCACAACTTTTTTTTCTTTTTGGGTCACACCGGCGATGCTCAGAGGTTGACTCCTGGCTCTGCACTCAGGAATCACTCCTGGCGGTGCTCGGGGGACCCTAGGGGATTCTGGGAATCAAACTAGGGTGGGCTGCGTGCAAGGCAAATGCCCTACCCGCTGTGCTATTGCTCCAGCCCCATTACACCTTTTTTTTAATACCTTTTTAAATTTAAATACCTCTTAAAATTTAAAAAAAAACCTTTTTTTTTAAATACCTTTAAAAATTCAGTGAGCAGGGGCCAGAGCAATAGTACAGCGGCGAGGGCGCTTGCCTTGCACCTAGTATGGTCTCCTGAGCCTGCCAGGAGTGAGTCCTGAGCACAGAGCTGGGAGTCAGCCGTGAGCACAGAGTCAGGAGTAAGTCCTGAGCACAGAGCCAGGAGTCAGCTCTGAGCACTGAGCCAAGAGTCAGCCATGAGCACAGAGTCAGGAGTGAGTCCTGAACACAGAGCCAGGAGTCAGCCCTGAGCATCGCCCAGTGTGGCCCCCCCCCAAACAAAACAAAACAAGAAGAACCGTGGGAATAGTTGTAGGAAATTGGGCTAAGACCTCGTGTGCGTTGAACTCCGAACTTCTTCCCTCTTTCCTTTGTGTCAGGCTTGTTCCCTGTCACCCTATGTTTGGTTGGGTTTCCTGACTTTAGATTAATTGGATTGGATGTCGTGTTCTTGATGCAGGAGCAGACACGTTATTGCCATTTTCTTTTTATGATCGATTAAGTCTGCGGCGGGCAGAAAGAGGAAGAAGAGGCTTATGGAGGTCGGGAGATATTTGGGAAAGGCATTTTCCTGGGGTTGACTTTTGTTGACTTCAGGAATAATGCAGGAAAGTCCAAATTTCCTTGGCTGGACTATTTTCTTTAGGTAAATGAATGCTGTCCATGGAATGGACTCCAGGGGGCAGTGTTTCACAGTTTAAAGTTTCCG